AAGAGCCCTTCGCGAGTTTCGACGAAATAGATAAGAACTAAATAGAAGTTATTGTAAACTAAGAAACAAATATAAAACAGAATGCAGACAACACCTTAACTCTTTCAGACATCTGAAATTGAATAAATTAACCAACTCATTAAAGAACTCAAAGCATTTTTGGAAAGTGATAAAATCTCTACGTAATCCAGTCATTGCACGTAATAATATTACAGGTCCTGAATGGCTTCTCCATTTCAAACAGGTTTTTGGAAATAACCATATTTTCGACGACAACATCCATGATGTTGTTAATGATGTAAATTTATCTGATGTTGAGCGAGATAATTTAGAATCGGAAATCGAAGTCGCTGAAATACACGATGCCATTAATACACTTAAATCAGGTAAATCTCCAGGCCCCGATGATGTCCTAGCTGAAATGTTAAAAAGTTCAAAACATATCATTACTCCCTTTTTGCACAAATGTTTTAACGAAATATTCAGAAAGGGTATATTCCCAAATGCATGGTCTAGATCTGTCATTGTGCCTATATTTAAAAAGGGAGACGTGACAAACCCCGATAACTATAGACCAATTTCTCTAACAAGCATCTTAGGTAAACTATTTGCTATAATTCTAAACAATCGTCTTTCTACCTGGGCTAATGTTTTTGACAAAATCCCACAACTCAAGCTGGCTTTAGAAAATCATATTCACCTGCCGATAATATTTTCTCACTTTATGCTATTGTTCAGAGATATCTCGGATGCCGAAAACGAAAACTTTATATTGCCTTTGTAGATTTTAAAAAAAGCTTTCGACACTGTTGACCGATGTAAACTTTGGGATTGTCTTAGGGCAGCTGGTGTTGGTGGGAAAATGTTTACCATTTTAAAATCAATGTATGAAAATGTAAAATCTTGTGTACGACATAATAGTGGAGTCACCGATTATTTTGACTGCCCCATGGGAGTTAAACAAGGTTGTATCTTGAGTCCTCTCCTATTTTCATTCTTCATTAATGACCTTTCTTTTGATGTTCAACAAAACGGTAAACACGGAGTGCAATTATACCCTGACCTTTATGAATTACTTATGTTACTTTTTGCCGATGACGTGATTCTAATCTCTGACTCTATTATCGGACTCCAGAAACAAATTGATATACTATACAGTTATAGTGTTACATGGAAGCTATCTGTTAACTTGGAAAAAACTAATATTATCGTATTTAGGAGAGGAGGTCCTCTTGCATCGAGAGATAAATGGTTCTTTAATAACCAACCTATAAATGTTACAAACATGTATAAATACCTCGGTGTTGTTTTACCGTTTAACCTTAATCTTAAACATCTAGTTAACGATCTCGCCCTACGAGCAAAAAAGGCCCTAATAAATCTATTTGTCGTTCTAGATAAATTGCGTGTTATCTCACCTACTATTTTCTTTAAAATGTTTGATGCTCAAGTTCAACCAATCTTATTATATGGATCAGAGGTCTGGGGTTTTGAAACCTATTACAATATTGAAAAGGTACACTTAACTGCATGTAAAAGATTTCTAAATGTTTCTAAATCGGCTCCAAATCATATGGTCTATGGCGAATGTGGTAGATACCCGTTATATATTTGTTCATATTTACGTTTACTCAGATACTGGCTCAAAATAACAGAGATGTCGCGGGAACGCATCCCAAGAAAATGCTACGAAATGCTTGTCTATCGTGATAGTGTTGGTTACGTAACCTGGGCATCAAACATTAAGCATTTACTCTTCTCTCACGGATTTGAATATTTTTGGCTTAATCAAAGCGTTGGAGACAAAATGTATTTTCTTAGCTCTTTTAAGCAGGTAGCAACTGATATGTTTACGCAAAGTTGGAGGTCGTCACTAGATAACAGTACACGCTACGACGTCTATAAACCTTTAAATATTGTCTAACACCAGAGGTTTACCTGCACACTATAACAGAGAGAAAAAATAGAGACACATTTATTAAACTTAGGCTAGGGTTAAATGATTTGATGTGCAACAGGGGTCGCTTCTCCTCTATTCCTAAGGATATGCGTTTTTGTTCATTCTGCGAAAACCATATTGAAAACGAATTACACTTTTTGTTTATATGTCCAATTTACGACAACCTAAGATTGAAATATATGCCTGATACAAAATACTATCTTTTAATGGTATCCCTAGTAAAAAATTAACTAAGATATTACAATACATCTTTCAAAGTCTACGAGTGCATAGTAAATTACTTAGTAAATCCGATATGTCCAGAAAAAATAGTTGTTTTGAAACTTTCGCATCCAGATCAGGAGTATCTACATTTTATTTTTGTCCGTTTGTTTCTACTAGAAATGCATATACATTTAAATTGTCAAATTGTCCTGACATGATGAGTATATTTCTGATAGATCCTTTTGTATTGAACGTCGTGCTATCGCTGAAAGCCTTTGCGACGTAAAACTTCATGTTTCCATTCCATTCCTTGTGTATTCCTTTTGTATTCCTTTTGTATTTTATACTACTACTGCTGCCACTGTGGTTATTACCACTGTTATTACAATACCTCTATTACATGTCAAGCATCATATTAGTTATCCAATAATTATATAATGCGATGTACAGCTGTACATTATATTGTTTATCTGTATATGTATATGGGCCAATGGCCTTTCATACAATAAAGATTGATTGATTGATAAACAAGCATGAATTTTTTCTTATGAGCTCCAGTCGTCTGCTCATATATCAGTAACACCTTGTAGTGTTTCCGCAGGTATTGTTTGGTGTTCACCTTCCTGAAGCACCCATTTCCTTGTCTTGTCTATCTCTATGAAGAAGCCAGCCTGGTATTGTGTATTCATTTTCCTTTGTAAAGCGGCATAAAACAACAAACTAGCAAGCTCTTCTATTCGATCTGCTTCTTTCAGACTAACCACTACATTGTCCAATAATTAAAAACGACAATCGGCAAATCTTTGAACACCTTTAGCATAGCCTGGGCGAATAGGCCTCAAATTAGTCACTTCTTCAAATTGTAATACCTTATGCGTCCTGCCACCATACATTCTACAAGGCGGTCTAATGTAATATCATAAGCTATAGCACTATGCCCCAAACCTTGTATTGCTTTCCAAGCTTCACCAGCAAGATACTGCCTTAGCTGCAATAACATGTATTCAGCAGCCGCTCGTGTTTGGTCCATGTATGTCAGAAATGCTGCTTCCCATCTTAAGATTTCATATCACCAGAACATGTTTTGGTTCTGGTCATGAAGGACGTGTGTATTCCTGGGTGTCCTGTGATTTAATTGTGAATATATTGTTTACTTTCCACAGAATTTTGCTGGGGACTACACGATCTGGAGCCTACAACTTGACACTGAAGTCACATCTGACCTACTTCCATTTAAACTTGTGTCTGTGCATTATTTTGATCTTGAAGATGACGGATCTCTTGTTCAGCTTCAGCGACATTTTCACCCATTCTCATCAAAATAAGATCTTATTGAAGCGAGATTCTACTTGTGTGTTATGCTTATGGCAATCCCAGGAGTTTGTCTATACCCCCAAAATACTACTTTTATCCAACATTACATAAATTTAACTTAGTCATGTCTTTAAAAAATATTAGAAACATTTAAAAATCTTACAACGTTTGAATATGAGGCAATGAAACTAGGGTGACGTGGGGTGAAATGGGGTTTAACGTCGCGTCCAAGATTATTGCACTTATATAGCGACGTGCATGCACGTGTGTGTGTGTGTGTGTGTGTGTGTGTGTGTGTGTGTGTGTGTGTGTGTGTGTGTGTGTGTGTGTGTGTGTGTGTGTGTGTGTGTGTGTGTGTGTGTGTGTGTGTGTGTGTGTGTGCTTTTACTAGTCCGGACAGATGCCGATTTATAGTTCTAGCTCACCGAGATACTATGCCATCAATACCTCACTCAGACACAGTATACTTACTCTGAGCCGACCAGTCCTTGTTTTAGCCCCTTAATGCCGAGCGCCAGACAGGGTAACAACAAGTATAATCTTTTAACGTCCTTTTCGCATGACGCTCTCCGGTCGGACGCTCTGCCACTAGACCACGGATGCGGTCCAATGCAACTAAGACAATCATTTGGGTGAACAATGTATATCAATGTACCAATGAATACATGCTGTTACTCTCACAAGCAATGATGTAACTGTAGAATGGGACTATGGCATCCACTACGGTATGAATAAAGCTACTAGTATACAAAGATCTAAGGATATCCAAACACGGGTCTTGCTAGAACGACCTTTCATCCAACTAATCAGACCATCGTTTGCCATATTGGAAAAAGTGACAGAATGTGTTTTCTAATCATGCAAATTTGAAAGGTCAGCATGGGGTATTCCGAGCGACAGTTACATGCTGTACGACCGATTACGTCCAAATCAAAGGCTATCTCTCGCTTCAATGGGATCAACATTTGAAACGGAAGAGACTTTCCACAGCCTGAAGGCAGTACTGTCATACAATATCAGCCATTTATTAGACATGCAAAAACATTCTTCAAATTTTCAGTTCAGTTTTCAAAGTTTGGAACGATATTTTTCAAAGCCTAGTCTGGTATGGAAGTCGCCACTTTGAAATTGGTGTCGTAAAGTTCAAGAAAGCTGTTTTATGATTGGCTAATGTCGAGTTTTCATTTCATTGGTCGGTCAAAGTTCATGAGAGATCCCTCTGGCGTAAACTGTTCTGAGATGTCATCAGATCTTTGTGTAGCGTTAACTGATTTTAGTGAAATTACATTTTCACTTTGCTGATTCTTTGCATAAACCAAAGACCGTCAACTTTACCTGTGCCATCTCTATGGTCGATCAACAGATTCTAAAAGACTGTTTAAGTTTCAAAATATTCACTAGTTCTGAGAAAGACCCGTTTATTCCTTGGGCGAGAGACGCCCAGAGACTTGTATCTCCTGTATTTCAGATATAATTATTGACTTACCGCTTGAAACCACGCTTTGCTACCATATGGAAATGAGAAGTTCTTTTTCCTCATAGGATAAAAATAATGACAATAATGTGAGCATGTAATTCGCGAAATGTTCTTTGCACCAATGTATAAAGCCCCCAAAGTACACGTTTTCTGCACATTAACCGAAAGTGGAATATTAACCACTTTTTCTCATACATTTCTTCCCGATAATGCAATTTCTTACTATTTTATTAACAGTAGGTTACTCCCGGCAGTATCGATATGTACACATCATTGCGTTTAGGGTTGCCTCGGGATTCTGATTTTTCATCCTCAACGATACGAAACAGACTGAAAACTGTGGATCTGAAATGAAAACGTCCTTTCAGAGGAATGCGTCTGACTGTGGCAAACAGGCTGCTCAGACAACAGTGGGCACATCGGTTTGGAGGTCGTCAGCGGCGGGATTGGAGAGACTCCATGTCTTCTGATGAATCGACGTTATGTTTCCGCTTTAGAGATGGTTCATAACATGTTTGGAGACTCCGGGTACTACCCGGCAACAGTCCAAGATCACGATAGGTATGTTTATGACAGCATCATGGTCTGGGTTGACATTCCATAGGTCATCCAAACGGACCCGTTCGTGCAAGGGAATATGACCGGTCAACGTACGCGTTATGTGGATCTAATGATGCCTCCAGTGGCCAGACCCTTGTGTCCAGCGCGTAGGTCAGAACCTGGGGTTCTAGGACACACCTCCTCACAGAGCTATTCTAACAGCCGACTGGCCCTGGCCAGCCAAATCCCCCGACATGTACCCCATAGAAAATCATTGTGATGTTCTTGGCTGAAAGGTTCGCAACGATCTCAGCGTTCCCAGAATTTGCTACGGGAGACAATCCGGCGTTTGATATCCAGTGTGCCCAGATGTCGTGTCTTCATTTCTGGGGCATGGTCCAGATATTGACTTTATTATGAAGATTGAATTCCACAATGTCATTTTTTAACATATCATTTCTGCATAAATTTGGGGGTTCAACCTAGTCTGCCAACAGATACACGCCACGACGAACACGAGATTCACAAGAACAAAATAGCATTGTTTTGTGACGTTGAAGACACAGTTCAGACAAACAGTTCAGATAGACTGAGATCACTCACGACCCACAATGAGAGACGACTGTCTGTAGTTACCCATCCTGCGTGACGCCTTTATAGAGAGACATCACTCACGGCCCTCTATGAGAGACGACTGTCTGGAGTACCTCATGCTGCGTGACGCCTATATAGACTGACATCAAATTCCAAATTCCCATGTTGCTCTCGCTCTACCTTCTGAAAGTACCATTCTCTCATACACTCATAGGCCACAGGTTGAAAGCTGGAGTCGAACTTGTTGGCAAACAGTCCGGCAGCTTTGGTCAGCATGGCCAGGTCCCCTACCCCCAGCACACAGATCAGGCGGACATAGCGTCCCTTGCAGGGCAAACCATAGCTCTTCCAGATCTTGTAGCGTCCTAGGAACCTCCGGTCTCTTGTCTCGGGATCTCCTGGAAAAGGGAAATGTAAAGAGGTAATGGTGACGTCACCTGCAGTGCACCTGGTGCAGACCAACACAAAACACATCCCCGCACAGTGAAGGATAGAATTCCTCCAATGCCCTTCTTCATGATTAGTTAATGAAAGTATTGCCCACCGCTTCTAGACTCTATCTAAAAATTTAAAGTTTCAACCTCAGAAATAAAAATGTATGTATTATAACTACAGCTGTGCTTTGTGACTTGTTTGTCCCCAAGACCGATGGAGGGTGATACTCTGTTTATCTGTTGTGTCTGGGTATAGTGGAGTGTTCTCTGTTTATCTGCTGTATCTGGGTATAGTGGGGTGTTCTCTGTTTATCTGCTGTGTCTGGGTAGAGTGGGATGTTCTCTGTTTATCTGCTGTGTCTGGGTAGAGTGGGATGTTCTCTGTTTATCTGTTGTGTCTGGGTATAGTGGGGTGTTCTCTGTTTATCTGTTGTGTCTGGGTATAGTGGGGTGTTCTCTGTTTATCTGTTGTGTCTGGGTAGAGTGGGGTGTTCTCTGTTTATCTGCTGTGTCTGGGTATAGTGGGGTGTTCTCTGTTTATCTGCTGTGTCTCGGTATAGTGGGGTGTTCTCTGTTTATCTGCTGTGCCTGGGTAGAGAGGGGTGTTCTCTGTTTATCTGCTGTGTCTGGGTAGAGAGGGGTGTTCTCTGTTTATCTGCTGTGTCTGGGTAGAGAGGGGTGTTCTCTGTTTATCTGCTGTATCTGGGTAGAGAGGGGTGTTATCTTTTTATCTGCTCTGTCTGGGTAAAGTGGGGTGTTCTCTGTTTATCTGCTGTGTCTGGGTAGAGTGGGGTGATCTCTGTTTATCTGAGGTGTCTGGGTATAGTGGGGTGTTCTCTGTTCATCTGTTGTGTCTGGGTATAGTGGGGTGATCTCTGTTTATCTGCTGTGTCTGGGTATAGTGGGATGTTCTCTGTTTTTCTGCTGTGTCTGGGTATAATGGGGTGTTCTCTGTTCATCTGCTGTGTCTGGGTATAGTGGGGTGATCTCTGTTTATCTGCAGTGTCTGGTTATAGTGGGGTGTTCTCTGTTTATCTGCTGTGTCTGGGTAGAGTGGGGTGTTATCTTTTTATCTGCTGTGTCTGGGTAAAGTGGGGTGTTCTCTGTTTATCTGTTGTGTCTGGGTATAGTGGGGTGTTCTCTGTTTATCTGCTGTATCTGGGTATAGTGGGGTGTTCTCTGTTTATCTGTTGTGTCTGGGTAGAGTGGGATGTTCTCTGTTTATCTGCTGTGTCTGGGTAGAGTGGGATGTTCTCTGTTTATCTGTTGTGTCTGGGTATAGTGGGGTGTTCTCTGTTTATCTGTTGTGTCTGGGTATAGTGGGGTGTTCTCTGTTTATCTGTTGTGTCTGGGTAGAGTGGGGTGTTCTCTGTTTATCTGTTGTGTCTGGGTATAGTGGGGTGTTCTCTGTTTATCTGCTGTGTCTCGGTATAGTGGGGTGTTCTCTGTTTATCTGCTGTGCCTGGGTAGAGAGGGGTGTTCTCTGTTTATCTGCTGTGTCTGGGTAGAGAGGGGTGTTCTCTGTTTATTTGCTGTGTCTGGGTAGAGAGGGGTGTTCTCTGTTTATCTGCTGTATCTGGGTAGAGAGGGGTGTTATCTTTTTATCTGCTCTGTCTGGGTAAAGTGGGGTGTTCTCTGTTTATCTGCTGTGTCTGGGTAGAGTGGGATGTTCTCTGTTTATCTGAGGTGTCTGGGTATAGTGGGGTGTTCTCTGTTCATCTGTTGTGTCTGGGTATAGTGGGGTGATCTCTGTTTATCTGCTGTGTCTGGGTATAGTGGGATGTTCTCTGTTTTTCTGCTGTGTCTGGGTATAATGGGGTGTTCTCTGTTCATCTGCTGTGTCTGGGTATAGTGGGGTGATCTCTGTTTATCTGCAGTGTCTGGTTATAGTGGGGTGTTCTCTGTTTATCTGCTGTGTCTGGGTAGAGTGGGGTGTTATCTTTTTATCTGCTGTGTCTGGGTAAAGTGGGGTGTTCTCTGTTTATCTGTTGTGTCTGGGTATAGTGGGGTGATCTCTGTTTATCTGAGGTGTCTGGGTATAGTGGGATGATCTCTGTTTATCTGTTGTGTCTGGGTATAGTGGGGTGATCTCTGTTTATCTGCTGTGTCTGGGTATAGTGGGATGTTCTCTGTTTATCTGTTGTGTCTGGGTAGAGTGGGGTGTTCTCTGTTTATCTGCTGTGTCTGGGTACAGTGGGATGTTCTCTGTTTATCTGTTGTGTCTGGGTATAGTGGGGTGTTCTCTGTTTATCTGTTGTGTCGGGGTATAGTGGGATGTTCTCTGTTTATCTGTTGTGTCTGGGTAGAGTGGGGTGTTCTCTGTTTATCTGTTGTGTCTGGGTAGAGTGGGGTGTTCTCTGTTTATCTGCTGTGTCTTGGTATAGTGGGATGATCTCTGTTTATCTGCAGTGTCTGGGTAGAGTGGTGTGGCCTCTGTTTGACTGCTGTGTCACCGTCAAAAGGTTGTGAATTCGCTAGTTGTAGTTGTATTGCTGGGTGTATGATGCGCCACTCTGGGGAGCCATGGAGCCATGGAGTCATGGAGTATATTTACCTGCGTAATGTCCAGGTACTCGGAGATGTCTGTTGTTGTTCAGAGAGGGGAAGAATGTCTCGTCTGGGTACTTTGTTTTATTTGTCCAGTGCAAAAAATCACGCGCCACGTGCGAATGCAAGACGTAGTCGACGAAGTCACGTGACGCTATAACGTGAACAGGTCCTTTCATCGGAGTTATTCCATGTGGTGCGGGTAAGACTCTACGCCAGCGACCTTTATTTGCCCTGGGAATACAATATTCAATATAATAAGTAGAAACCAATGAAAAATAACATTTCTTCAACCGTAAGATTGTGTTTGATGACAAAACTTTCAGAAAGTTCGTTAACTGACCAAGGGGGTTACCTTTATTACGGTATTGTCGCAATGGTAGTAGTAGTAGTTGTTGTTGTTGTAGCAGCAGCAGCAGCAGCAGTAGTAGTAGTAGTGAGAGTAGTAGTGGTAGTAGTAGTGGTAGTAGTAGTAGTAGTAGTAGTAGTAGTAGTAGTAGTAGTAGTAGTAGTGGTGGTAGTAGTAGTAGTAGTTGTTGTAGCTGCAGCAGCAGTAGAAGTAGTAGTAGTGGTAGTAGTGGTAGCAGTAGTGGTAGTAGTAGTAGTAGTAGTAGTAGTAGTAGTAGTAGTAGTAGTAGTAGTAGTGGTAGTAGTAGTGGTAGTAGTGGTAGTAGTAGTAGTGGTGGTGGTGGTGGTGGTTGTGGTAGTAGTGGTGGTGGTGGTAGTGGTGGTAGTAGTGGTGGTATTAATAGTGGTGGTGGCAGTAGTGGTGGTGGTGGTAGTAGTAGTGGTGGTGGTGGTAGTAGTAGTAGTGGTGGTGGTGGTGGTGGTTGCGGTAGTAGTGGTGGTGGTGGTAGTGGTGGTAGTAGTGGTGGTGGTTATAGTAGTGGTGGTGGTGGTTGTGGTGGTGGTAGTAGTGGTGGTGGTGGTGGTGGTGACGGTGGTGGGGGGGTGGGGGGGGTGGTGACTGTGGTGGTGGTGGTGGTGGTGGTGGTGACTGTGGTGACGGTGTTGGTGACGGTTGTGGTGGTGGTGACTTTGGTGGTGACTGTGGTGGTGGTGGTGATGGTGATGGTGATGGTGATGGTGATGGTGATGGTGATGGTGATGGTGGTAGTAGTAGTGGTAGTAGTAGTGGTGGTGGTAGTAGTGTAGTGTAGTAGTATGAGCAGGAGAAGGAGTAGTAGTATGTTTAGTAGTAGTAGTAGTAGTAATAGTAGTAGTAGTGGTAGTCGTAGTGGTGGTGGTGGTGGTGGTTGTGGTGACTGTGGTGGTGGTGACTGTGGTGGTGACTGTTGTGGTGGTGGTGGTGACTGTGATGTTGGTGGTGGTGGTGGTGATGGTGGTGGTGGTAGTAGTGGTGGTGGTGGTGGTGGTGACGGTGGTGGGGGGGTGGTGGTGGTGGTGACTGTGGTGGTGGTGGTGGTGGTGGTGGTGGTGACTGTGGTGACGGTGTTGGTGACGGTTGTGGTAATGGTAGTGAAGTTAGTGACTGTGGTGGTGGTGGTGACTTTGGTGGTGACTGTGGTGGTGGTGGTGATGGTGATGGTGATGGTGATGGTGATGGTGGTAGTAGTAGTGGTAGTAGTAGTGGTGGTGTTAGTAGTGTAGTGTAGTAGTATGAGCAGGAGAAGGAGTAGTAGTATGTTTAGTAGTAGTAGTAGTAGTAATAGTAGTAGTAGTGGTAGTCGTAGTGGTGGTGGTGGTGGTGGTTGTGGTGACTGTGATGACTGTGGTGTTAGTGGTAGTGGTGGTGGTGACTTTGGTGGTGACTGTGGTGGTGGTGGTGGTGACTGTGATGGTGGTGGTGGTGATGGTGGTGTGACTCTGGTAGTGGTGGTGGTGACTGTGGTGGTGGTGACTGTGGTGGTGACTGTTGTGGTGGTGGTGGTGACTGTGGTGGTGGTGGTGGTGGTGGTGATGGTGGTGTGACTCTGGTAGTGGTGGTGGTGACTGTGGTGGTGGTGACTGTGGTGGTGACTGTTGTGGTGGTGGTGGTGACTGTGGTGGTGGTGGTGGTGGTGGTGATGGTGGTGTGACTCTGGTAGTGGTGGTGGCGACTGTGGTGGTGACTGTTGTGGTGGTGGTGGTGACTGTGAGGGTGGTGGTGATGGTCGTGTGACTCTGGTAGTGGTGGTGGTGACTGTGGTGGTGGTGGTGATGGTGGTGTGACTCTGGTAGTGGTGGTGGTGACTGTGGTGGTGGTGGTGGTGGTGGTGATGGTGGTGTGACTCTGGTAGTGGTGGTGCTGACTGTGGTGGTGGTGGTGACTGTGGTGGTGGCGGTGACTGTTGTGGTGGTGGTGACTGTGGTGGTGGTGGTGACTGTGGTGGTGACTGTGGTGGTGGTGGTGATTGTGGTGGTGACTGTGGTGGTGGTGGTGACTGTTGTGGTGGTGGTGACTGTGGTGGTGACTGTGGTGGTGGTGGTGGTGACTGTGATGGTGGTGGTGGTGGTAACTGTGGTGGTGGTGGTGGTGACTGTGGTGGTGGTGGTGGTGACTGTGATGGTGGTGGTGGCTGTGGTGGTGGTGGTGGTGACTGTGATGGTGGTGGTGACTCTGGTAGTGGTGGTGGTGACTGTGATGGTGACTGTGGTGGTGGTGGTGACTGCGGTGGTGACTGTGGTGGTGGTGGTGGTGACTGTGATGGTGGTGGTGACTGTGGTGGTGACTGTGGTGGTGGTGGTGGTGACTGTGGTGGTGACTGTGGTGGTGGTGGTGGTGGTAACTGTGGTGGTGGTGGTGGTGACTGTGCAGGTGGTGGTGGTGGTGGTGGTGATGGTGGTGTGACTCTGGTAGTGGTGGTGGTGACTGTGGTGGTGGTGGTGACTGTGGTGGTGACTGTGGTGGTGGTGGTGACTGTTATGGTGGTGGTGACTTTGGTGGTTACTGTGGTGGTGGTGGTGGTGACTGTGATGGTGGTGGTGATGGTGGTGTGACTCTGGTAGTGCTGGTGGTGACTGTGGTGGTGGTGGTGACTGTGGTGGTGGTGGTGATGGTGGTGTGACTCTGGTAGTGGTGGTGGTGACTGTGGTGGTGGTGGTGGTGACTGTGATGGTGGTGACTGTGATGGTGGTGGTGACTGTGGTGGTGGTGGTGGTGACTGTGATGGTGGTGGTGATGGTGGTGTGACTCTGGTAGTGCTGGTGGTGACTGTGGTGGTGGTGGTGACTGTGGTGGTGGTGTGACTCTGGTAGTGGTGGTGGTGACTGTGGTGGTGGTGGTGGTGGTGACTGTGGTGGTGGTGGTGGTGGTGGTGGTGACTGTGGTGGTGACTGTGGTGGTGGTGGTGGTGGTGGTGGTGGTGGTGGTGACTGTGGTGGTGGTGGTGGTGGTGACTGTTGTAGTCGTGGTGGTGGTGGTCATGACTGTTGGTGGTGGTGTCGGTTGTGGTGGTGGTGACTGTGTTGGTGGAAGTAATGGTGGTGTTGGTGGTGGTGGTGGTGGTGGTGGTGGTGGTAGTTGTAGTGGTGGTGGTGGTGGTGGGGGTACATTGTGGCAGGGCACAGTAACAATTGTCTACTCCACCGCCCCAGAAGTAGTTTTGGTGGATGCTGTGATAACAGTTGTGGCAGTGTCAGACTGTGGTGGTGACTGTGGTGGTGGTGGTGATGGTGGTGTGACTCTGGTAGTGGTGGTGGTGACTGTGGTGGTGGTGGTGGTGACTGTGATGGTGGTGACTGTGATGGTGGTGGTGACTGTGGTGGTGGTGGTGGTGACTGTGATGGTGGTGGTGATGGTGGTGTGACTCTGGTAGTGCTGGTGGTGACTGTGGTGGTGGTGGTGACTGTGGTGGTGGTGTGACTCTGGTAGTGGTGGTGGTGACTGTGGTGGTGGTGGTGGTGGTGACTGTGGTGGTGGTGGTGGTGGTGGTGGTGACTGTGGTGGTGACTGTGGTGGTGGTGGTGGTGGTGGTGGTGGTGGTGGTGACTGTGGTGGTGGTGGTGGTGGTGACTGTTGTAGTCGTGGTGGTGGTGGTCATGACTGTTGGTGGTGGTGTCGGTTGTGGTGGTGGTGACTGTGTTGGTGGAAGTAATGGTGGTGTTGGTGGTGGTGGTGGTGGTGGTGGTGGTGGTAGTTGTAGTGGTGGTGGTGGTGGTGGGGGTACATTGTGGCAGGGCACAGTAACAATTGTCTACTCCACCGCCCCAGAAGTAGTTTTGGTGGATGCTGTGATAACAGTTGTGGCAGTGTCAGAGAAACAGAAATCTAGCTGACAGGGCGTGTTTACATTTGTACTCGATGTTACAGTGGCACCCGTGGTTACAGTAGTACTCGTGGTTACAGTTGTACTCGGTGTTACAGTAGCACCCGTGGTTACAGTGAGTACTCGTTGTGGTTACAGCCCCTACATACCTACTGGAGGTCCCGAAGATGTCGTTCGTCCCGTTGTAGGCTTGGAGGATTTCGACCAGCTCGTAGTTCGTCTTCAATGGAAATTCCTGCCCCGTAAGATTTATAAAATAGCGCCATTTTGTTGGTACCATCCACAGGTCCCTCATACACACAAGTTCCGGTTCCAGGACGGTGAATGTCCCCCACTGGACCCTCACCAGTCTTGAAGCGACGAAGACGTTGGTAAAACATGACGTCAGCCTCCTCACAGCGGCGTGGAACATATTGCTGCTCTTCCCGTCAACATGGACACAGTACACGTTCTGGGGCCGCCATATTGCCTCCAGTAAAGACACAAACTGATTGAAATCTTTGAATATCAAAATACTATAAGCTATAGGAAAATCCAACTCGGATCTCACAGAATGGTTGATGAATCGCCTGGACCGGAAATAGTTACTGCAGGACCTCAACTCCCCGATATGAAGGTGAAGGTCCTTCTGAAGGTGAAGGTCCTTAGTGTTGAGGATGCTGGTCCTGTTTATCTCATCTACGTCCCCCTGTATCAGCTTCTGACAGGACATACTCATGTTGTGTTTCAAAGGGAGAGTACTCTGTGGTGATTCAAACTCGCCCAAGAGCTGTTTCAGTTTGCTTTTGTTAAGTGAGGTCAAGGTCATCCACCGCAGCTGCAACGCAATGACCAACAGCCCCAGCACAACATACACTGAGAGGACACAGTGGCGAGACAGCGACATCACCGAGAACGGTGATCTTGGCTGCGATATCTGGTAAAAATCTGAAAGTCAAATGAACTGTGTTTATTAAAAACATATTTAATACTGTTGAAGTTCATGCCGAATAGCTTCAGGAGGTCCGCGTAATCGACACTCACATGAACCACAGAATCACTGCCTCTGGTCCTGACACAAGTTTATGTCAAAGGACCCATTCACATCTTGTGGGTCTTGACTATCATAGATGCTAAGTTAGTGAGTGAGTTGGGTGTAACGCTGCTTTTAACAGTATTCTAGTTATATCACGGCGTGTCAGCTTAATGTGGGAGGAAAGCCTGAAGTGATGCAGGTCTCAAACGTTTACCACTTTGGTGAAACCCACGAGCACGGGTATGATCGGGGATAACTGGGATTTGAATCCACAATCATAGGTTTCTGGCTTGCCCAAGGGACGCAACCCTGCACAGCGAATCGCGGCGCCTAAGATGACTGAGGCACCCGTGCCCCCATAGATGCTAAGGAATCGTATGGAGGCGTCAACAAAATGTAACATTTTTTTAGTCTGGTCAACGCTAGTCAATGGAGCTCCTCCATGTGTGGTTTATTCAATTCAATTCTTATATCCATCCTGTAATGTAGGCCCTCATCCCATGATTACACCAACGGTGACACGTGAGGTGGCGGGTTTGACTTGAATACTCAATGTACATGGACAAGTATACAATGTATATGATAAGGGTAACGCTATTTTTCAGGGCAGTAGAGGGCAGTTAAAAAGACCGGGGGCAAATGATAATGCCCTGAAAAATAGCGTTACCGTCAGCTAGAATGGATGGAATTTGTTATCAAATAAATAGAAACAACAATATAGGTTTTGAAACATTTGCAGCAATCAACACAAATGTCACTGACCCACTTTTACAAATATGGAAACGTCACAGAACAAACCAGATAACATTACTATTGAACGTGACGTCACCTATCCTTATCCTATGACCTCACCTATGCAATAACGCAATATGAGGGCATTATCAAGTTACAGTAGCCCGCTTATTTCTGATAATATGCGGGCGATTTAATAATAATTCTATCCATTTTAGCTATAGAAGTATATAACATCTACATGTGTAGGTGACATTAACACATTCGATGTATGTAGCAGCGGTAATTTGTAGTACCCCTCGTTGGTATGTTTGTTTCTGATTTAACAATTATGTTCATATTCGGGGGAAAATGGTATTCATATTCGTTTGTTACAAACTATACAAATCCGCTGTACTGTGTGACTATCATCTAAATCGAGGTGAACAAATTCTCAACTTATTAATTGTTATATAACTCAAATATAATTCAAATCCAAATGGAGGTTTAAATAGTGATAATGAACTTGTTTGAGAGAATTTAAATAACATAGGATTTCATTCTTGTTCATCCCAGTATTTCATTTTAGCCACAAACTCAGAACGAAACTCAGGAACATCATCTGACTAGACTGATGTTCCCATACATCCAGCAAAATCTAAATGTAATGTTCAACCTTTGATACCCAGTTCACTTTCCCAAACTGTACTTGCTAGAAGCACATCACGTATATACATCTAGACTGTAGCATGCCGAGTCTTCGTGCCCCAAACTGTACTTGTCCAGGAGCACATCACAAGGCACGTATATACATCTAGACTCCAGCATGCCGAGTCTTCGTGCCCCAAACTGTACTTGTTCAGAAGCACATCACAAGGCACGTATATACATCTAGACTCTAGCATGCCGAGTCTTCGTGCCCCAAACTGTACTTGTCCAGAAGCACATCACAAGGCACGTATATATATCTAGACTGTAGCATGCCGAGTCTTCGTGCCCCAAACTGTACTTGTCCAGAAGCACATCACAAGGCACGTATATACATCTAGACTCCAGCATGCCGAGTCTTCGTGCCCCAAACTGTACTTGTTCAGAAGCACATCACAAGGCACGTATATACATCTAGACTGTAGCATGCCGAGTATTCGTGCCCAAACTGTACTTGTCCAGGAGCACATCACAAGGCACGTATATACATTTAGACTCTAGCATGCCGAGTCTTCGTACCCCAAACTGTACTTGTCCAGAAGCACATCACAAGGCACGTATATACATCTAGACTCCAGTATGCCGAGTCTTCGTACCCCAAACTGTACTTGTCCAGAAGCACATCACAAGGCACGTATATACATCTAGACTCCAGCATGCCGAGTCTTCGTGCCCCAAACTGTACTTGTTCAGGAGCACATCACAAGGCACGTATATACATCTAGACTCCAGCATGCCGAGTCTTCGTGCCCCAAACTGTACTTGTCCAGAAGCACATCACAAGGCACGTATATACATCTAGACTCCAGCATGCCGAGTCTTCGTGCCCCAAACTGTACTTGTTCAGGAGCACATCACAAGGCACGTATATACATCTAGACTGTAGCATGCCGAGTCTTCGTGCCCCAAACTGTACTTGTCCAGGAGCACATCACAAGGCACGTATATACATCTAGACTCCAGCATGCCGAGTCTTCGTGCCCCAAACTGTACTTGTCCAGAAGCACATCACAAGGCACGTATATACATCTAGACTCCAGCATGCCGAGTCTTCGTACCCCAAACTGTACTTGTCCAGAAGCACATCACAAGGCACGTATATACATCTTGACTGTAGCATGCCGAGTCTTCGTGCCCATTACTGTACAACTGTTTCATCACTACTCGTGGGTAAGGGACAGCGACCACACTCACCACAAATAACATGATTTGGTGTTGATAATTTGACATGTGAAAAACGTTTACACACCGATAATCTGGTAGATTTAATTGCTTTGATATTATATATTGCGTGCGGGTGCGTATATGTACGTATGTTTGTGTGGATGTGCGTGTCTGTGGGTGCGTATATATAAGTATGTGTGTGTGGATGTGCGTGTGCGTGCAGGTGCGTATATGTAAGTATGTTTGTGTGGATGTGCGTGTCTGTGGGTGCGTGTGCGTGCGGGTGCGTATATGAACGTATGTTTGTGTGGATGTGCGTGTCTGTGGGTGCGTATATGTAAGTATGTGTGTGTGGATGTGCGTGCGCGTGCAGGTGCGTATATGTAAGTATGTTTTTGTTGATGTGCGTGTCTGTGGGTGCGTACATGTAAGTATGTGTGTGTGGATGTGCGTGCGCGTGCAGGTGCGTATATGTAAGTATGTGTGTGTGGATGTGCGTGTCTGTGGGTGCGTACATGTAAGTATGTGTGTGTGGATGTGCGTGTCTGCGGGTGCTTCGTTGTAAGTATGTGTGTGTGGATCTGCGTGTCTGTGGGTGCGCGCGAGTGTGTTTGAGTGTGTGCGTGCGTGTTTGTGTTTGTGAAGGTGTATGTGTCTCTGTGTGTTTGTAAGTGCGCTTGCGTGCGTACGTTTGTGTGCATGTGTGTTTGCGTGAGTGTGAGCGTGGATGCGTGTGTTTGTGTGTGTGTGCGTTTGTGAATGGGTGCGGGTGTTTGTGTCTATCTGTGTGTGTATGTGTGATTGTATGTGTGTATATGTGTGTGTTTGTGTGTGTGCAACAAGTGACCCTGACACGTGCATCAAAGCGTTGTTTTTAAAAGCAGCATCGATTTCCTTGTCAATAATGGATCTCAACAAGTTTCATTCAACCTGCTACTACTTCAATACTACCCATTCTAAAGTCCAAGGTGGATTAAACATATATTTGGTCAATAGCAAAAGAGAATACGACAAATGTTGAGGTGCTTATTTAGCAAAAACAACCGTTTCGCTTATAGTCTCATCGGAAAGATCAGTGCGCGTCTTGCACATGGCAGTGGACGTACACCCCCTGGGAGCCATCTTGCTGATGCTGCTCGGTAATACCCCGGGGTCCGAGCGGGCTGTGTGCCTGGCTCTACCCACTGAGAGGTTGGTGCGCTGACTGCCTAGATTGTTGCATGTCACAGTCATGGGATTATAGAAAATAGCCACCTGAAGGTGATTTAGACAGCTGCAGACCCACTTGCGTGAAACGGCATCTGGGCCAGACTAACTCCAACACATTACCATAGGCAACATTTGTAACGCTGAGATCGCTTTGCGAAAATCATTGTAAAACTTAACTATTCAATACTGGACAAATATCGCTATGACATAATGATTTAGTGAGTGAGTGAGTGAGTGAGTATGGTTTTACGCCGCCTTTAGCAATATTCCAGCAATATCACGGCGGGGGACACCGGAAATGGGTTTCACACATTGTACCCATGTCGGGAATCGAACCCGGGTCTTCGGCGTGACGAGCGAACGCTTTAACCACTGGGCTACCCGACCGCCCCCATAATGATTTAGAAAAGGCCTGTGTTAGATTGGCTGACTGCAAGTACTTGACGGTATATGAAGACTTATCCGCGGGATTGTGTACTACGGATTCCTGACGTCCCTGGTGTGGCCTGAAGACAACACCACCAGCATCCAGGACGCGAACACCAGGAACACCGCCCGCTGTACACCAGGAACACCGCCCGCTGTACACCAGGAACACCGCCCGCTGTACACCAGGAACACCGCCCGCTGTACACCAGTACACAATAACGTTCAAAACATTGTAAAGTTGTATGAAACTCAAGACCAACACTAAAAGTCATCTTTATTGGCACATTCTGCGACCCATGAAAATCCGGGCTAGAATTGCTCTTCAGCAACCCATGCTTGTCGTAAGAGGCGACTAACGGGATCGGATGTCAGGCCCACTGACTTGGTTGATGCATGTCATCGTATCCCAATTGCGTAGATCGATGCTTATGATATCAGTCACTGGATTGTCTGGTCCAGACTCAATTTTTTTCAGACCGCCGTCGTATAGCTGGAATATCGCTGAGTGTGGCCTTAAACAACAAACAAACAAACAAATGACACAAATGCGGAACTCACCGTGACGTCACACTCCAGCGATGGCACCTGGATGGTACAAAGACACTTGTGAGCGGAGAACTGTTGTTTGTGACCGGTCTGCTGGTGTTACAACGAAAACAGCTGTATACGTGACCCTTGACATGCTGTACACGTGACCCTTGACCTGCATTGTAGCTATGAGAGGACAGTGTGTGCTGCCACCCCCCAGTGGGGGAATCACCTCAAACCGAGACGATAGTAGGGAATGGATCAGGGGTATTTATCTCAATTGAATGTGTCTGTAATGACCTGGCTGTTCGCGGATTACCTGTCCTCACCATACATACAGGTCTGTGCGGGTTAGGGCAGGTCACACATGTTACATGAGCGGGTTATTCCAGTTTGTGTGTGGCGTTGCAGGGCTCGATACAGTCATATAGAACATGCACCAGTGCGACCTATTATTGAAAAATGTGATCCAATATTTTTGTCTACATGCACCAATTGCATGTAAAAATATTCAAATTCTTATCTGACTAACCCGCACTTGTCCACACAACATCGATGTTTGAACACACTCAACACCTCTACTTACCATTCTACATCACTAATCCCTAGTTACGTATAAGTCACGACACTGACAGCAGATATCTGAGATTTTAATTATTTAGACTTCGATTTTTACTTTGATAGATTTATGGAACCAGGGTGCAACCTGGTTTTGTCTGGTGCAACTAGCTTTTCTTGTCAACATGCACCTGGTGCAAGTTCCTTAAGCCGAGCGCTGCCGCTGTGTGACTCTGTGCTTATACCTCGGAGTACGCTTTTGATAAATTTCACAAATTCACTACAGGCTAAACAGGGAAGGTTGGGTGCCGGTGTTACTCACGCAGATAAAACAGGGGAGATGGGGTGTTGGTGTTTATCACACTGATAAAACAGGGGAGATGGGATGTTGGTGTTTATCACATAGATAAAACAGGGGAGGTTAGGTGCCGGTGTTATCACACAGATAAAACAGGGGAGATGGGGTGTTCGTGTTTATCACATAGATAAAACAGGGAAGGTTGGGTGCCGGTGTTTATCACATAGATAAAATAGGGGAGATGGGGTGTTGGTGTTTATCACACAGATAAAACAGGGAAGGTTGGGTGCCGGTGTTTATCACATAGATAAAATAGGGGAGATGGGGTGTTGGTGTTTATCACACAGATAAAACATGGGAGATGGGGTGTTGGTGTTTATCACATAGATAAAACAGGGGAGGTTGGGTACCAGTGTTATCACACAGATAGAACAGGGGAGATGGGGTGTTGGTGTTTATCACACTGATAAAACAGAGGAGGTTGGGTACCAGTGTTATCACACAGATAGAACAGGGGAGATGGGGTGTTGGTGTTCACATAGATAAAACAGGGAAGGTTGGGTGCCGGTGTTATCACATAGATAAAACAGGGGAGATGGGGTGTTGGTGTTTATCACACAGATAAAACAGGGGAGGTTGGGTGCCGGTGTTATCACACAGATAAAACAGGGGAGGTTGGGTGCCGGTGTTATCACACAGATAGAACAGGGGAGATGGGGTGTTGGTGTTTATCACACAGATAAAACAGGGGAGGTTGGGTGCTGGTGTTTTTCACACAGATAAAAAAAGGAAGGATCTCGGATAGAACTAACAACTTAGAAGATATGCATAACTGTTGTTAAACGTGTCTATTTTCTAATGTACTGATGCGGGAAATTCGCAACTTTATTCGAGGAGTTATAGGAGATTCGCAACAGATAAAAGAGATTCACAACTTCCTCCGAGGAGATACAAAAGACTTGCAACTGTGTACTATAGTCCTCGCCACTTAATCACAGTATATCCTGATGATTATGATGAAGTTAGCTACTTGTAAAATTAAATGGAGCCATTCCAGCAATAAGGAATAATGACAATAATTGGAAAGTGCTTTTTTCAAGAAATATTAATTTGCCGATGAAGAATGTTACTTCAGTAGCGACAAAATAAGTACCTTTTTTAAGAAATGTCAATTTTCTTTGTGATAAACATCAACATTTAGTGAGTGAGTAAGTGAGTTGGGTTTAAAGCCGCTTTTAACAGTATTTCAGTTATATCACGGCACGTCAGCTTAATGTGGGAGGAAAGCCCGAAGTGATGCAGGTCACTTCGGTGAAACCCACGAGCATGGGTATGGTGCTGACAAACCTAGAAACATAATCGGTGCGTACCAGGATTCGAACCTACAATCATAGGTTTCTGGCTTGCCCAAGAGAATCGACACTGAGTTTTGATCACGTGGTATACACGCAAGTCGGTAGTATTTGCCTCAACCGTTTCCTCCAGACAGGTGATAGCAGTCACTCTGTTTTTGCGCTTCTGTCGTTTGGTCAAGCCAGGTGACAACGGTCCCCTTGTTTTTGCACCTCTGCCGGGCGACAGAAGCACATGCAGGGAATAAAAGTGGAAATATGTCTGTTTTTCTTTCGTTTGAATAAAATGCTCATAAAAGGAAATTGGAATGTCAAATGTCTTAGATGCAGCTTAGGTTAATAAGATCTGTCTGCTGCAAACAAAACCGGTGGATTCTCCAGAAAACAGTGAGTGCGTGAGTGAGTGTGGTTTGACGGCACTTTTACAATATTCCTGCAACATCAGGTCTGGAGAGACAGAAAAGACTGACTAACACATAAAACAAATGCATATTTTATTCGAATTTTGTGTAATAAAAATATGAATACAAAATTTATATCTCAAGTCTTGACATGATGGAAGACAAATATAGACACCATGTCAAAGTTGTGATGCCACGAGGCCATTGAGAGAGGGAGAGCTACAGGCGGGGGAGAATGTCAATAAACAGCAACAGTTAATAGCAACCTTGGGTCACAAAACATCATTGGGCTTCCCAGAGGTCATAGAACACCAGAGGGCAACCTAGGGGTGATAGTTTGTTTGTTCATTTGCTGTTTCGTTGTTCAATGCCACACTCAGCAATATTTCAGCTATATAACGGCAGACTGTCAATAATCGACCAGACAATCCAGGGATTGACATCATGAGCATCAATCTATGCAATTTGGATATGATGCCATGCATCAACCAAGTCAGGAAGCCTGACCACTCGTTCCTGTTAGTCGCCTCTTACGACAAGCATTGGTTGGTGAAGACCTATTCTAACCCGGATCTTCGTCTATGGGTGATAGAACACCATAGGGCAACTTAGGGGTTCTAGAACATCAGAGGGCAAACTAGAGGTTCTAGAACATCAGGGACAACCTAGGAGTTCTAGAACATCAGGGACAACCTAGGAGTTCTAGAACATCAGAGGGCAACCTAGAGGTTCTAGAACATCAGGGACAACCTAGGTGTTCTAGAACATCAGGGACAACCTAGGAGTTCTAGAACATCAGAGGGCAACCTAGAGGTTCTAGAACATCAGGGACAACCTAGGAGTTCTAGAACATCAGGGACAACCTAGGAGTTCTAGAACATCAAAGAGCAGCCTTGGGGAGATAGAACATCAGGGACAACCTAGGAGTTCTAGAACATCAGAGGGCAACCTAGGAGTTCTAGAACATCAGGGACAACGTAGGAGTTCTAGAACATCAGGGACAACCTAGGAGTTCTAGAACATCAGAGGGCAACCTAGGAGTTCTAGAACATCAGGGACAACGTAGGAGTTCTAGAACATCAGAGGGCAACCTAGAGGTTCTAGAACATCAGGGACAACCTAGGAGTTCTAGAACATCAGGGACAACCTAGGAGTTCTAGAACATCAGAGAGCAGCCTAGAGGTTCTAGAACATCAGAGAGCAGCCTTGGGGAGATAGAACATCAGGGGGCAACCTAGGAGTTCTAGAACATCAGAGAGCAGCCTAGAGGTTCTAGAACATCAGAGAGCAACCTAGAGGTTCTAGAACATCAGAGAGCAACCTAGAGGTTCTAGAACATCAGAGAGCAGCCTTGGGGATATAGAACATCAGGGACAACCTAGGAGCTCTAGAACATCAGAGAGCAGCCTTGAGGTTCTAGAACATCAGAGAGCAACCTAGAGGTTCTAGAACATCAGAGAGCAGCCTTGGGGAGATAGAACATCAGGGACAACCTAGGAGTTCTAGAACATCAGAGAGCAACCTAGTGAGTGAGTGAGTATGGTTTTACGCCGCTTTTAGCAATATTCCAGCAATATCACGGCAGGGGACACCAGAAATGGGCTTCACACATTGTACCCATGTCGGGAATCGAACCCGGGTCTTCGGCGTGACGAGCGAACGCTTTAACAACTAGGCTACCCGACCGCCCCGAGAGCAACCGAGGGGTTCTAGAACATCAGAGAGCAACCTAGAGGTTCTAGAACATCAGAGAGCAGCCTTGGGGAGATAGAACATCAGGGACAACCTAGGAGTTCTAGAACATCAGAGGGCAACATAGGGTGATAGAACATCAATGGGCAACCTAGGGTGATAGAACATCAGAGGGCAACCTAGGGTGATAGAACATCAGAGGGCAACCTAGGGGAGATAGAACATCAGAGGGCAACCTAGGGTGATAGAACATCAGAGGGCAACCTAGGGGAGATAGTACATCAGAGGGCAACTTAGGGGAGATAGAACATCAGAGGGCAACCTAGGGTTTATAGAACATCAGAGGGCAACCTAGGGGAGATAGAACATCAGAGGGCAACCTAGGGGAGATAGAACACCAGAGGGCAACCTGGGGTTAATAGAACATCAGAGGGCAACCTAGGGGAGATAGAACATCAGAGGGCAACCTAGGAGAGATAGAACACCAGAGGGCAACCTAGGGTTAATAGAACATCAGAGGGCAACCTAGGGGAGATAGAACATCAGAGGGCATCCAAGAAGTGATAAAACATTACAGCAGGAATGAACAGCAAAGGGCAACCGAGGGCTGATATAACAGGGCATGCTTTGTCTCGGGAACACACAACTACTCCAGAGTAAACAAGCACATCCACATGAACTTTAGTGCATAATTTCTGCATAATGGATGCCCACATTACAACTGCTTTCCTCTACTGTACAATCTGCAGATACCTATAAAAACACAATAGATCACTGACATAGATTATCTTAAATTCATTACATAAATGAATACTGTAAACCCATCTGCAATGGCAACTCCTTTCATACTCATTCAGTTTAAATAAAGAAACAAGGGAGTCCAGAAGCACTATGAAAAACAATTAATCCTCAGAACATCCACCCACGCAGTGTAAGTACTAGCAGTCAAACAAACAGTGGAGCAACGTCACACAACAGAGTCGGGCGAAGGGACTAAGTATGATACAAGACCCGTTAAGTTGTATGTTCTATGAATTGTTGAGACAGAGAGGTGACCTCAGAGGCATCACTGACAGAATGTGACAGATACATGATGTCGCAGGGTAGTCCCTTAAACAGAACCCAACTCCCATACAGGTCAGATTCCCACACAGAAGTCAGATTCCCCTATTCCCATACAGCAGCCAGATTCCCAGATTCCCACACACAAGCTAGACCCCAACACAGAAGCCAGATTCCCACACAGAATCCAGATTCCCACACAGAAGTCAGATTCCCCTATTCCCATACAGCAGCCAGATTCCCACACACAAGCTAGATCCCAACACAGAATCCAGATTCCCTCACAGAATCCGGATCCCATACAGAAGCCAGATCCCCACACAGAAGCCAGATTCCATACAGAAGCCAGATCCAACACAGAATCCAGATCCAATACAGAAGCCAGATCCCAACACAGTAGCCAGATCCCCACACAGAAGCCAGATTCCATACAGAAGCCAGATTCCATGCAGAAGCCAGATTCCATGCAGAAGCCAGATTCCCACACAGAAGCCAGATTCCATACAGAAGCCAGATTCCATACAGAAGCCAGATTCCATGCAGAAGCCAGATTCCATACAGAAGCCAGATTCCATGCAGAAGCCAGATTCCATGCAGAAGCCAGATTCCATGCAGAAGCCAGATTCCATACAGAAGCCAGATCCCCACATAGAAGCCAGATTCCATACAGAAGCCAGATTCCATGCAGAAGCCAGATTCCATGCAGAAGCCAGATTCCATACAGAAGCCAAATACCATGCAGAAGCCAGATTCCATACAGAAGCCAAATACCATGCAGAAGCCAGATTCCATGCAGAAGCCAGATTCCATACAGAAGCCAGATTCCATACAGAAGCCAGATTCCATACAGAAGCCAAATACCATGCAGAAGCCAGATTCCCATACAGAAGCCAGATTCCCATACAGAAGCCAGATCCCCATACAGAAGCCAGATTCACTTACAGAAGCCAGATTCCCATTCAGAAGCCAGATTCACTTACAGAAGCCAGATCCCACACAGAACCACTGCATTCTGCTGCTCAATTGTTTAGTATGAGGTGCCACTGGCACACACTTCATGTTCACCCACAAGATCCCAGAGATAATAATGACCTCTACACAAAAGCATTCATCAGAGATACGAGGGTAATTTTCACCAGAAACACAAATACATGAACCAAATAACTAAAGGCCGTAGTTTGTGGAAATATGTATCTCAACTGTGTCCAATGTACACTATTACCTTCCCCATCAGCAGCCACTCAAGGAAGTTACACACTTGACCCCAGATGACCTTCCTCCCTCAAGGTCACAAAGAAAACATTTCAGACATCAGATATTCTGGGCCAAAGTGAGAAGCTAGCATCACATGCTTTCATCTGGACAAGATTCCTACTGAGTTAGGTTGAAGAATTAAACTTTGTAAAAGAATTCATTGTCTGATGGTGACCTTCACATTTAATACCTATCTCCATAAACTCTTCCATCCTACACTGCACATGAAACCATCAAGTCTTTGTTTATCCTTGTACACCATGGTGATGGGCTGTATTTTGTTGTCAAAAACAGTCATATAATGAAATCATAGTTTCACTACACAAGAAACAACTTTTCCTTCCCCAAAACATTCACAACAGGCAATCTCATTAACATCAGATCCTTTACTCCGACTTCCGGACTCTAACAAACTCTCCCCTGGAAGTCGCGTGAGATGAAATGTCTAATCAGAAAATCTGCAGAGATGGTTTTATGTTGTCGATATGAACGAGCGAATCATTTGGAGCAGCATATCTGATTTCTGTATCTCTCCTAACTAGATCTATGTAAAGTGTTCACCTAACTAGATCACCTATGTTCAGTGTTCACCTAACTAGATCACCTATGTTCAGTGTTCACCTAACTAGATCACCTATGTTCAGTGTTCACCTAACTAGATCACCTATGTTCAGTGTTCACCTAACTAGATCACCTATGTTCAGTTTTCACCTAACTAGATCACCTATGTTCAGTGTTCACCTAACTAGATCACCTATGTTCAGTGTTCACCTAACTAGTTCTCCTGCGTTGTGGATTCACCACGTATCTTCTCCAATGTTTAGAGTTTATCATGCAGAATGTTTGTCATATTTTGACGAAGAGATTAATACAGTAGGATATGCATACAGTGACGCTATGGCAATAACTCATGAAGCCAGTATTGTCAATCTCAATGTGACCACTGAGATTGTTTACATTTTTCAACTGGTCCTATCTTGAAGTGGATATCCCCACATGGAACGGAAAACCTTGCCTTCTCCTCTTGCATATACAATCACAGTCAAGTGTCAAGCTTGTTTTCAATGTCACCTGACGGACACCGTGACCCCCACATACAATACAACAGTGATGAGAAAGATTTTATACAGAACACTGAAAGTCAGCCAGGGATCTTGAGAACTATATGATATATGCGTATTTCGTAAAGGCATGCATCACAAAAGTGACCCTTGATGTAATGAAACCCTTGGAATTTGGCGGATCCACAGAAACGTCTCATCCGTGATATGACACTGATTTGTTCGTGACCATTTCAAGATGACATGACTTGATTGTTCTGCTCAGTCCAAGCTAGAAATACAAATGGTAAATGATTCTAATAACATTAAAATAATTAGCAACTTTTTTATTAATAGTTTGCTATTCAATGACAATAAGTTGAAACTTATGCTTAAACATGAAGATTTTAGAACCAATAAATACTTCTGTTAAACATCAAACGCTGAAACAGAAGTAAACATATTGACCTCTGACCCCTGACTAAATCCAGCAAATGGGCGACCTGAAAGACACTGTGAAACCCAAGTGATTTGTAAAATGCTGAAATATAAAACAGTCTGCGAATGGCTTCCCTGTCAATATAAAGACAGACAAGAGCAAAGATTTCTCCCTCATGACAGACATAGACAAGCATAAAACAAGATCAAAACATTGTGTTACATTTATCACAGCTTCTTCACTGAAACGTTCCTATTTTCCAATATTCACAAAGATGGCAGGAATACCCATTGAAACGAAACATATATATAATAATAATAATTTTCAGATCCAAAAAGTAATCATGGCTAAAACAATTGCTATGTATTAAAACTACCTTTCTTTGAGTATTACTGAACACTTGAAGCTAACATGACTTGTGAACCATGTCCAGTGAACACCAGCCACAGCTGAACACCATGTCCAGTGAACACCAGCCACAGCTGAACACCATGTCCAGTGAACACCAGCAACAGCTGAACACCAACCACAGCTGAACACCATGTCCAGTGAACACCAGCCACAGCTGAAACACCATGTCCAGTGAACACCAGCCACAGCTGAACATCATGTCCAGTGAACACCAGCCACAGCTGAACATCATGTCCAGTGAACACCAGCCACAGCTGAACACCATGTCCAGTGAACACCAACCACAGCTGAACACCATGTCCAGTGAACACCAGCAACAGCTGAACACCAACCACAGCTGAACACCATGTCCAGTGAACACCAGCCACAGCTGAAACACCATGTCCAGTGAACACCAGCCACAGCTGAACATCATGTCCAGTGAACACCAGCCACAGCTGAACATCATGTCCAGTGAACACCAGCCACAGCTGAACATCATGTCCAGTGAACACCAGCCACAGCTGAACACCATGTCCAGTGAACACAAGCCACAGCTGAACACCATGTCCAGTGAACACCAGCCACAGCTGAACACCATGTCTAGTGAACACCAGCCAAAGCTGAACACCATGTCCAGTGAACACCAACAGCTGAACACCATGTCCAGTGAACACCAGCCACAGCTGAACACCAACCACAGCTGAACACCATGTCAACTGAACACCGGCCACAGCTGAACACCATGTCCAGTGAACACCAGCCACAGCTGAACACCATGTCCAGTGAACACCAGCCACAGCTGAACACCAGCCACAGCTGAACACCAACCACAGCTGAACACCATGTCCAGTGAACACCAGCCACAGCTGAACACCAACAACAGCTGAACACTATGTCCAGTGAACACCAGCCACAGCTGAACACCAACCACAGCTGAACACCATGTCCAGTGAACACCAGCCACAGCTGAACACCAACCACAGCTGAACACCATGTCCAGTGAACACCAGCCACAGCTGAACACCATGTCCACTGAACACTATGTCCAGTGAACACCAGCCACAGCTGAACATCATCTCCAGTGAACACCAACCACAGCTGAACACCATGTCCACTGAACACCAGCCACAGCTGAACACCAACCACAGCTGAACACCATGTCCAGTGAACACCAGCCACAGCTGAACACCATGTCCACTGAACACTATGTCCAGTGAACACCAGCCACAGCTGAACATCATCTCCAGTGAACACCAGCCACAGCTGAACACCATGTCTAGTGAACACCAGCCACAGCTGAACACCAATGCAGTGGAGAGACACATGCATATCAAGCACTCTAATGTCTGATGCTTCATCATTGAAACTGGTTTCAAACACAGAACAGCAGACAGAATATCACGCAAAGGGAACGGAAGGGAAACTTGAGTTGACCACAGGAGCTGACCAGACATCGTGACATGTGACTCCAGTTGACCACAGGAGCTGACCGGACATCATGACATGTGACTCCAGTTGACCACAGGAGCTGACAAGACATCATGACATGTTACTCCAGTTGACCACAGGAGCTGACCAGACATCATGACATGTGACTCCAGTTGACCACAGGAGCTGACCAGACATGACATGTGACTCCAGTTGACCACAGGGGCTGACCTGACATACTGACATGAGACTTGAGTTGACCACAGGAGCTGACCGAATATTGTGGCATGTCAGGCTGTGACTCGCACTGACTATAGGAGTTGGCCGCACATTGCGACCCTGATACAGCTAACAGTGAAGAAATCACCAGGGACAGAAGGGCCGTCGACCACATACATATACTTATCAGTTAATACACAGAGGGCACTTCAGAGCAAGAATTGGTTGACGTAGATATGTCAGTGTGGAAGTTCTTCGATAGTATATTCCAAAACCGTGTATCGTAAGTAAGTTGTGCTATCTACAGAATTTCTACTCCACTGATAATCCTACCAACCACATGTCAATGGGACGAGGGCTATTGTTCAAACACAAATCACATTACTTTCCTAATTTTGCTGTTGGAAGAAATGCTATTTACGACAACCAATTCACATAGTAGAGAGGCACTTGGGGCAGTGGAGAAAGGAGGGACACCTACACATACAGACAGCGTGTACAGGTACAGACAGCGTGTACATACAGACAGCGTGTACAGGTACAGACAGCGTGTACATACAGACAGCGTGTACAGGTACAGACAGCATGTACAAGTACAGACAGCGTGTACAGGTACAGACAGCGTGTACAGGTACAGACAGCGTGTACAGGTACAGACAGCATGTACATACAGACAGCGTGTACAGGTACAGACAGCGTGTACATACAGACAGCGTGTACAGGTACAGACAGCGTGTACAGGTACAGACAGCGTGTACAAGTACAGACAGCGTGTACAGGTACAGACAGCGTGTACAGGTACAGACAGCGTGTACAGGTACAGACAGTGTGTACAGGTACAGACAGCGTGTACAGGTACATACAGCGTGTACAGGTACAGACAGCGTGTACAGGTAAAGACAGCATGTACATACAGACAGCGTGTACAGGTACAGACAGTGTGTACATACAGACAGCGTGTACAGGTACAGACAGTGTGTACAGGTACAGACAGCGTGTACAGGTACATACAGCGTGTACAGGTACAGACAGCGTGTACAGGTACAGACAGCATGTACAGGTACAGACAATGTGTACAGGTACAGACAGCATGTAAGGTACAGACAGATGTGTACACAAGGTCATTTAACTCCTAATTAAATCATAGAGAGCAACAAAAGTGCATCAACTTATCAGTGATACAATATGGCTACAAGAATATTTACAGACACTGATCAAGAGACTGTTCACATACATGTGGACGCTAAACAGTTGTCACCCACTGTACCACGAACACACATACAGACTGCACACTGCACAAACATTCATGTGACTACAATATGTGATATGTATCAGTTGTAGCCATGGTGATATCTGTCAGTCAATATGTCGGCAATAACCATGGTCATATCTATCAGTCAATATGTTAGCAGTAACCATGGTGATATCTGTCATTCAACATGTCGGCAGTAACCATGGTGATATATCCATCAGTCAATATGTCAGCAGTAACCATGGTGATATATGTCAGTCACTTGGTCAATTGTAACCATGGTGATATCTGTCAGTCAATTTGTCAGTTGTAACCATGGTGATATCTGTCCGTCAATATTCCAGCAGTAACCATGGTGATATATGTCAGTAATCAAGACAGTTTTACTCATCTTGGTCAGCAAACTTATTTTTTGATTGCCATAAATATTGCAAGAGTAACAAGGAAATAATTAAACATACTATGATGTGTTTGAATGAAAACATATTTTGTAAAACATGTTAAAATTTGTTAAAAAATGTTTTTGAAGTGATATTTTCCAGGAATCGTCAACCCTGACAAGACATGTCTACATCTCTCCTGCTGCTGTCCCAGAAAACCTGCACCTCCAGCTCATCTCGCACTGTCATCTCAAGTACAGTGATGGAAGCTGGAGACCAACCTCGGGCTTTGTGAGGAGGATTCTAGGCTGACATGTTTCCTTACAAATCAATGTGAACGTAAACCAAATGTAAAGTTCATTATGGCTGTAAGGTTGACTTCTGTAAGGTGAAGCCAGTCAGTAACAGAGATGCACGGATCACAACAGATTCTGCTCATTATACGCACAAACATTTGGAAATAAAGCATATAAAAAAACCTATAAAGATGTTGGATTGCAGGAAATTTCCAGTCAAAACCAGCATTTTGTTGTTTTTGGCCTTTTGTGAAGGCTCCAGGAGAGAAATACTTGGTCTGTGACGCATGGAAAGAACATATGGATAACAAAGCGACCCACGTGAAGTAAGTACAAGACATTACTTTGGCACTAAATAAAGAGTACTTTCCTAAATTAGTAAAACAAATCTTTAAAATAAACAAAGAATAAAAGAGACATCTGCGTTGTTTGGCACAATCTTTCATCAGCGCCAATTCAGAAATCAAATATTTTCATTTGATAATAAAATCATAAACATTTTCTTAGCCTTAGTAGAATTTTTTCTGTGTGATACTTATCAAATAATGCACATAGTTAAAAACAGACAACAGAGTGAGTGAGTGAGTGAGTGAGTGAGTGGGTGAGTGACACCCCCACTAGGCTCATCACCACCCCTCCACGATGGAATCATAATGCATCGGTCACTGACATCATTGGGACTGTTAGTGTAGAATTTATTCGATGGATAAAGTTTGCTAGTTGATGTAACTTCCTAAGTACCCCTACTGTTATCTGACAGGAGCAAACTTGGCACCAACACTTGAAAGGTCTGACTTAGGATCAGGTGACCTTGAACTCCACGATGTCTTCTTGCACTGTTCTAACACAAGGCAGGTGTTAGACAGATCCTCTATCGTACACGACCTCTGAACCTGCCAAAACAAAGGCACTAAACTGTCCACCCAGTTTTCCAAGTCCTTCCCCACCTTCTTAGCGTTCACCGCTGCCTGTGTTTCCAGGTCGGCGTTCTTAGGAACGTTCAACACATCACGGAATTCTGCGAAGTCTTTGGAAGCGTAGAAGCCTTGTGGTCCACTGTGAGCCCTGTAAATCTCTGTGGCGGAGATTGGGCGGCTGTCGTATACAGTGAGGGGGGTGACGAGGAAGGAGGTTTCGGCCAGAATCTGCAGGTTGTACATCAGCTTCACCTGCCAGATCCCGGGCCGCAGCGGCCTGTTCAGCTGAGGTTTGTGAGACCCGGTGTGTCCGCTACTGAGAACCTTCACATCATATGATGCTGCTATCACATTGATGGGGTCAATCCACGCCACAGAGATCACAAACTCGATTCCCGTTCCCCACACATGACGCAACACCACGTCATCATATGGGCCAATAAGTTTTCCGTAATTTCGGAATAACAGTTCTTTGGGATCAAAATCTGTTCCCACCTACAAAAGAAAAGACGTGATCAATAATCCATCAAGAAATACTTCATATGCATCTAACAAACTCGTCAGCATTTACTGATATACTACTATTCTGCCTACATCCTTTTCAAAACCCACACCTCAAGTGCTCTCAAAACAAGTCTATTGGAGGTTATGTTAAATACTACATACCATATTCAATATACTGCATAATATATGTTACATACTATATACTGTATAACATTTCTTATATACCATATACTGTATAACATATGCTATATAACATATACTGTATAACATATTCTATTTACCATATATTGTATAACATATGTTATATATACCATGTTATATATACCATATACTATATAACATATGCTATATATACCATATACTATATAACATATGCTATAAACCATATACTGTATAACATATGCTATATACCATATAATGTATAACATTTCTTATATACCATATACTGTATAACATATACTATATAACATATACTGTATAACATAATCTACTTACCATATATTGTATAACATATGCTATATATACCATATACTATATAACATATGCTATAAACCATATACTGTATAACATATGCTATATACCATATATTGTATAACATTTCTTATATACCATATACTGTATAACATATGCTATATAACATATACTGTATAACATATTCTATTTAACCATATATTGTATAACATGTTATATATACCATGTTATATATACCATATACTATATAACATATGCTATATATACCATATACTATATAACATATGCTATAAACCATATACTGTATAACATATGCTATATACCATATAATGTATAACATTTCTTATATACCATATACTGTATAACATATACTATATAACATATACTGTATAACATAATCTACTTACCATATATTGTATAACATATGCTATGTATACCATATACTATATAACATATGCTATATACCATATACTGTATAACATATGCTATATACCATAAACTGTATAACATACCATATACTGTTCAAGAAATGATATATACCATATACCATATAACATGTTATATACCATGACTGTATAACATATGTATATTGTACACATGCTATATACCATATACTGTACAACATACCATATACCGAATAACATGTTATATACAATATACTGTATAACATATGTATATTGTACACCTACTATATACTGTATACTTAATATTATATAAATAGAGAATACTACACTCATTCTCGTTAGATACCATTTTTACGACATGAGTGGACTTTCTATGGTATCTGACCGAGCAAAAGTTTTGAAACTAAAACATTGTTTCTATTTGAGATAGCATACTAGTGGTCTGGTGGTCTACATGTCTAGTTGACTCCTGGTCTACAGGTCTACTGATCCCCTGGTGTAATGGTCTAGTGAGCTAGTGGACTACTGCTCTACAGGTCTAGTGGACTACTGGTCTAGTGGACTACAGGTCTAGTGGACTACAGGTCTAGTGGACTACTGCTCTACAGGTCTAGTGGACTACTGGTCTAGTGGTCTACAGGTCTAGTGGTCTAGTGGTCTCACCTCCAGTGTTTGGAGTCTTCCTATGATTGTCTTTGGTTGGAGGATGGAATAGTGGTGTTTAGGATGCATATGTGTTTCCATGGTGATGATGTTGCCTGTAGCAACCTCCTCTACTTCGTGGAGGACCAGAATTCCATGGAAGTGGTCAGCCTCGTAGAACACATTTGCCTCGAGTGTTTTGATAGGTCGATATGTACATGACACAGACTGCCGTGACAGTTCTGCCACTCCCAGCCTGATAAACGACTGGTAGAACGTTGGGTAGGCATCCTTGACCTTGGCCATCTTGTCCAGATGGTGGTATTCATTTTGCCAGTAGCTGGTTAGGCCAGTCATGTCTGAAACATACACACTTTCTTCAAGTGAAATGTTTTGAATTGAGAAATACACCTTTCATATTTAAACTACAGTAACCTACATTTATAACAAACATGCTTATAACAAACGGACCGATAAAACAATTTAATTTTTTAGTCCCGGTCATTTGTTGTATTCGTGCTGTATATATGCTTATAATGAACTACGGTTATTACACACTAAAATAAGTGTTCCCTTTGAGTTTGTTAATACCATACTTTACTGTATATGTATTGGAACATTCCTTTGCCTGCGTCCCTGTTATTCAGTATGCGCAGTAATTCAGTTACATCAGGAAAGCCCAAAGTGACACAGATCCTAGACACTGTACCAGTTTGGGGTGCCCAGTGTGGATGTGGGGCTATATGGCTGACAGAGCACAATCAGGAAAAACCCTGGGCTCCAGCAGATCATAACTGACAGTCAACTGGGGACCAGCAGATCATGCCAGACAGTCAACTGGGGACCAGCAGATCATGCCGGAGAGTCAACTGGGGACCAGCAGATCACGCCTGACAGTCAACTGGGGACCAGCAGATCATGACTGACAGTCAACTGGGGACCAGCAGATCACGCCTGACAGTCAACTGGGGACCAGCAGATCATGACTGACAGTCAACTGGGGACCAGCAGATCACGCCTGACAGTCAACTGGGGACCAGCAGATCATGACTGACAGTCAACTGGGGACCAGCAGATCATGACTGAGAGTCAACTGGGGACCAGCAGATCACGCCTGACAGTCAACTGGGGACCAGCAGATCATGACTGACAGTCAACTGGGGACCAGCAGATCATGCCAGAAAACAGTCAACTGAGGACCAGAGATCATGTCGGACAGTCAACTGGGGACCAGCAGATCATGCCAGAAAACAGTCAACTTGGGACCAGCAGATCATGCCAGAAAACAGTCAACTGGGGACCAGCAGATCACGTCGGACAGTCAACTGGGGACCAGCAGATCATGCCAGAAAACAGTCAACTGGGGACCAGCAGATCACGTCGGACAGTCAACTGGGGACCAGCAGATCACGTCGGACAGTCAACTGGGGACCAGCAGATCATGCCAGAAAACAGTCAACTGGGGACCAGCAGATCACGTCGGACAGTCAACTGGGGACCAGCAGATCATGCCAGAAAACAGTCAACTGGGGACCAGCAAATCACGTCGGACAGTCAACTGGGGACCAGCAGATCATGCCAGAAAACAGTCAACTGGGGACCAGCAGATCATGTCGGACAGTCAACTGGGAACCAGCAGATCATGCCAGAAAACAGTCAACTGGGGACCAGCAGATCATGCCAGAAAACAGTCAACTGGGGACCAGCAAATCACGTCGGACAGTCAACTGGGGACCAGCAGATCATGCCAGAAAACAGTCAACTGGGGACCAGCAGATCATGTCGGACAGTCAACTGGGAACCAGCAGATCATGCCAGAAAACAGTCAACTGGGGACCAGCAGATCATGTCGGACAGTCAACTGGGAACCAGCAGATCATGCCAGAAAACAGTCAACTGGGGACCAGCAGATCATGCCAGAAAACAGTCAACTGGGGACCAGCAAATCACGTCGGACAGTCAACTGGGGACCAGCAGATCATGCCAGAAAACAGTCAACTGGGGACCAGCAGATCATGTCGGACAGTCAACTGGGAACCAGCAGATCATGCCAGAAAACAGTCAACTGGGGACCAGCAGATCATGCCAGAAAACAGTCAACTGGGGACCAGCAAATCACGTCGGACAGTCAACTGGGGACCAGCAGATCATGCCAGAAAACAGTCAACTGGGGACCAGCAGATCATGTCGGACAGTCAACTGGGAACCAGCAGATCATGCCAGAAAACAGTCAACTGGGGACCAGCAGATCATGCCAGAAAACAGTCAACTGGGGACCAGCAAATCACGTCGGACAGTCAACTGGGGACCAGCAGATCATGCCAGAAAACAGTCAACTGGGGACCAGCAGATCATGTCGGACAGTCAACTGGGAACCAGCAGATCATGCCAGAAAACAGTCAACTGGGGACCAGCAGATCATGTCGGACAGTCAACTGGGAACCAGCAGATCATGCCAGAAAACAGTCAACTGGGGACCAGCAGATCATGCCAGAAAACAGTCAACTGGGGACCAGCAAATCACGTCGGACAGTCAACTGGGGACCAGCAGATCATGCCAGAAAACAGTCAACTGGGGACCAGCAGATCATGTCGGACAGTCAACTGGGAACCAGCAGATCATGCCAGAAAACAGTCAACTGGGGACCAGCAGATCATGTCGGAAAACAGTCAACTGGGGACCAGCAGATCATGCCAGAAAACAGTCAACTGGGGACCAGCAGATCATGTCGGAAAACAGTCAACTGGGGACCAGCAGGTCACGTCGGACAGTCAACTGGGGACCAGCAGATCACGTCCGACAGTCAACTGGGGACCAGCAGATCATGCCAGAAAACAGTCAACTGGGGACCAGCAGGTCACGTCGGACAGTCAACTGGGGACCAGCAGATCATGCCAGAAAACAGTCAACTGGGGACCAGCAGATCACGTCGGACAGTCAACTGGGGACCAGCAGATCATGCCGGAACACAGTCAACTGGGGACCAGCAGATCATGCCAGAAAACAGTCAACTGGGGACCAGCAGATCACGTCGGACAGTCAACTGGGGACCAGCAGATCATGCCAGAACACAGTCAACTGGGGCCCAGCAGATCATGCCGGACAGTCAACTGGGGACCAGCAGATCATGCCAGAAAACAGTCAACTGGGGCCCAGCAGATCATGCCAGAATACAGTCAGCTGGGGCCCAGCAGGTCACGCAAGAACTGTCAACTGAGGCCAGAACACAGTCAACTGGGGCCCAGTTGATCGTGTCAGAACTCATTCAAGTGGGCAACCTCCATAGATGACAAGTTAAAAAAATGAAATTCTTACCTTGTTGGAAATTACCAAATAAATAAACGTCTACACTATTGATGATCTCTTGGTTCACTATAGGTTCAAATTTCCTTGCAAAGAAAATTGGTTTTTGCTCATAGTTCTGAAAAAAGACAATAGAATTATTAAGCAAGAAGTATCTAAACTCCATTTATTCTCTGATCGAAAACATAGTAATAAAGATGGATGCACTTCCCAACACAGCTTCTCATCTGTCAAGGGAAACCTGGATGTGATATGACAATGTCAGTACAGCAGCTGATGGCAACCTACCATGAGTCTGTCCAGGTCGGAGATCTTGAAGTCGTTGGGGGAGCAGCCGCACCAGTCAACGATGTGTTTGTACTGACACTTGCAGCCTTGCTTGCGGCGCCAGTTGGTGAGGTGGAGGTTGTTGTCCACCGCCTTGGTGCAGAAGGCGCTGTTCACAAGCACCGTGTGGAAGAACGACTGAAACACACAAATACCACAAGTTGATAGACTCACCTCCAGTGTCTGAACAAGAACAAACAGCCCGCCTGTAGCCCTAGATTGTGGCTGATTGAGATATGTGACTGCCTAGATTGTGGCTGATTGAGATATGTGACTGCCTAGATTGTGGCTGATTAAGATATGTAACTGCCTAGATTGTGGCTGATTGAGATATGACGCTGCATAGATTGTGGCTGATTGACATATGTCCCTGCCTAAATTGTGTCTGGTTAGATTGAGATATATCGCTGCCTAGAATGTGGCTGGTTAGATCGGAGCTAGACACCTTGAGGTGGTCCTGCTCTAGATTGTGGCTGGTTAGATTGAGATATGCCTCTGCCCTAGATTGTTGCTGGGCACTGTGATCAGGTTCTACCGGTGTCCTACCTCGGCTGGGAGAAGGGTGTATTTGTACAGCTGTTTGAGGCCTGTGACCAACTCGTCCTCTGTGCTGACCAGATACTGGACATACTCCCGGTACAAGCACACCCAGTCACTGCCGCCATCCACCCTGATCCCACCCGGCAGTTTCCGGGGCCCTATACGCCACAGGTGGTTGTCACACTCATAGAAGGTCTGGTCCAACCCCTGCTTCTGTATGAATCTGAAAAAAACGTAAATATACCGTAAATCTTGAAATTAACGCAAACTCAAACATGAATTAAATGCGAAAAATGAGAGTGGTCTTTGCTCCCATTATTAAACATGGCATTTATATCAACAATAACACATTTTGGATAGCAGAAATAACAACTTAGACATGTGTTGAAAACAAACAGCTATGTATTCCACATTACTGTTTATTGAGCAGCACATGTAACAAGAATATCAACAATATCATTCAAACACTAATTACACCCTTATTGTCACTGCTTGCGTCAAGACAAGAGTTCTTCTCACTTATGTCATCACTGATCACACCTGCCAGTCCAGATAGACGCCACCCACGCAACACGGTGTCTTTGTTATGGCCGACACAAGCCAGCACCACGTATTGTTTTAGCGGAAGTACTCTGCCTGCTACTAACCAGTGCTATGTGGTGTGTGATTGGATGAATGTAAGGTTGGATTAAGGTGAGGATTCTCCTGTAAACCTGACACCAGCGGGCACATTCTTTTGGAGACGCATTAATTTCACGATTTACAGTATGTGAGGTATTTTTCACTTTAGTAAAACATAAGAACTGACCATGGTCTAGCATTATCTGAGCATTGACTGGCATAATCTGACCATTGTCTGACACAACACAAACAGTAAATATACACAGAGTGACATCATACACACTTCACATTGCAATGAATGCATAGCTCACCTGGGTGTGTCCCGGCCGTGAGACTTGAGGAAGTTGTATGTCTTGTAGAGAGACAGAAAGGCAGTCAGGTCTTTCACTGGTCTGGAAAACAATGTCCACCGTTACTCAGGGAAGTGTCAGTGTCACAGGATATCTAAGTACTATGTTATCAAGTATTAATGTACATGCTGCAACACTGCTTTTGATGGATGCTCACTTTAGGATATGAGAGGGTAGTCCCTCCCACTGTAGGTGATGTACTCACTTGATGGGGCAGTCCCTCTCACTGAGGGTGATGTACTCACTTGATGGGGCAGTCCCTCTCACTAAAGGTGATGTACTCACTTGATGGGGTAGTCGCTCTCACTGAGGGCTATGTACTCACTTGATGGGGTAGTCGCTTTCACTGAGGGTGATGTACTCACTTGATGGGGTAGTCCCTCTCCCTGAGGGTGATGTACTCACTTGATGGGGTAGTCCATCTCACTGAGGGTGATGCACTCACTTGATAGGGTAGTCACTCTCACTGAGGGTGATGTACTTACTTGATGGGGTAGTCCATCTCACTGAGGGTGATGTACTCACTTGATGGGGTAGTCGCTCTCACTGAGGGTGATGTACTCACTTGATTGGGTAGTCGCTCTCACTGAGGGTGATGTACTCACTTGATGGGGTAGTCGCTCTCACTGAGGGTGACGTACTCACTTGATGGGGTAGTCGCTCTCACTGAGGTTAATGTAGTAGTCCCAGGCCCAGGCGGTGTCCAGTAGCTGCCGCATGAAGTGCAGGTGAGCCTGCAGGAGACTGGCTCCGCCCCAGATTGTAGAGAACCTCGTCTTGGTCACCAAGATGTTGGGCAGCAACTTCTCCAGGGGAAGTAACTCTCGATACATAAACTCCTGCCGCTGAAACAGGAAGTAACTGGTCAGAATGCAGAATGGAAGCTTAAAGTTTTCTGAAACACTTCTAGATTTAAATGAATCGATAAAATGTTATACATTTATATCTCAGGTTTGAAAATCAGCCAATCCTACACAAGAAAAGTAGAATGTACAATCACTGAACCACGCCTGATGTGTGGAGAAGTTTGAATGTACAATCACTGTACCACATCTGATGTGTGGAGAAGTTTGAATGTACAATCACTGTACCACATCTGATGTGTGGAGAAGTTTGAATGTACAATCACTGTACCACATCTGATGTGTGGAGAAGTTTGAATGTACAATCACTGTACCACATCTGATGGGTGGAGAAGTTTGAATGTACAATCACTGTACCACATCTGATGTGTGGAGAAGTTTGAATGTACAATCACTGTACCACATCTGATGGGTGGAGAAGTTTGAATGTACAATCACTGTACCACATCTGATGGGTGGAGAAGTTTGAATGTACAATCACTGTACCACATCTGATGTGTGGAGAAGTTTGAATGTACAATCACTGTACCACATCTGATGGGTGGAGAAGTTTGAATGTACAATCACTGTACCACATCTGATGGGTGGAGAAGTTTGAATGTACAATCACTGTACCACATCTGATGGGTGGAGAAGTTTGAATGTACAATCACTGAACCACGCCTGATGTGTGGAGAAGTTTGAATGTACAATCACTGAACCACATCTGATGTGTGGAGAAGTTTGAATGTACAATCACTGTACCACATCTGATGGGTGGAGAAGTTTGAATGTACAATCACTGAACCACATCTGATGGGTGGAGAAGTTTGAATGTACAATCACTGAACCACATCTGATGGGTGGCGTGGGCAAGTTGTTGAAAAGTTTTAACGTACAATCACTGTACTGGACTGGGAAGTGTTGAATGTGGTATGGACATGCTGAATGTTGAGATCAAAATACAAACCAGTAGATTTATCTATGTTTTGTCAGAATTTTGTTTACCTTCAGTGAATCTCAGTGATATTTTATTGAAATGGAAGAATAAGACATCCAAGGAGGATGTGACTGAGTCCTCATCAAGCACATCAAGTAGTTTGTTTTGTTTGTTCGTTTGTTGTTTAGCGCCACACTCAGCAATATTCCAGCTTTATGACGGCAGGCTGTAAATAATCAAGTCAGGACCAGACAATACAATGACTGATATTATGACCATTGGTCCAAGCAATTGGGATACAATGACATACATCAATCAATTCAGCGAGACTGACCACCCGATCACGTTAGTCGCCTCTTACAACAAGCATTGTCACCTTTAACAGCAAGCATGGGTTGCTAAAGACCTATTCTACCCCGGATGTTCACGGGTGACATGAAGTTGTAGCGCTGGGTATGTTCCCCTCACCTTGTCTATGTGCAGGAAGTAGTAGTGTTGGGGATGGTAGATGTTGCGGAGAAGGCGCACCACCTGTCGCACCTGCCGCCCATTCAGAGTCAGAACAAACACGATTCTCACGGTGCTGTCGGCTTCGTTACTTCCTGCTCGCACCAGGGGAGCCTGGTAACGTTTCTTCTCTGGAAATATTTATGGATATGATAGAAAATGTTAAAATGGAAGTTCAGGATAATATCACTGCTCAAGCTTTGTTAAAGAACAATATAAGTTTCAATGTCAAAATCCAAACTACTTAATTTGTTCAAGTTACTCATGTCAAACTAAGCCACACCCTCCTCCACTGCTCACATTCCATCTCCCAATCAATCCCCATCCTTCACCAACCCTTCTCTCCTCCCAACTCAACCATCACCGACCCTGTGGTCTATAATACAGTATGGTAGTAGACCAGGGGTCCGGAAACCGTCATATGCGCCGGACATGTCCGATTGCAATTGGGAATCTCAAATGTCCGGTTTAAAATATTGCTTACCGGACATTTACATTTTTCTGTCCGGACATTTTAAAAAGTATTGTCCGGACATTCTTAAATTTTGACCGGACATGATCAACAGTTAGGACTGAGCAGTTTCTGTCTGCAGTTGTAACACAATGAAGATTATCTACACTGACAAGCTTTGTTTGTTTTGATTGCTGTAAATACATCGTACCTACATGATAGTCCAATCGGTCAATCACTGTAATTGGCAATAAACTGAGTTGACACTGATTAATCGAGGATTAATTACTGAGAACATCTTGTTAATTTGAGTGAAAGGTGTTTACAACTGTACATAAATACCTTGCATCATCGATGTACCATTATCCTCAAAATGCTACGATACGTAAGCAGACAAGAAGCAAAAGCGTGACAACAGATTAGTCGAGCGAATCTGCCAAACCCTCAAAGTTTGAACGATCATTTTGTAAGTCGTGGCTAACGACTTTCACTTGGTTGACATACAATGAGGATTTGCAGATTTTATTGTTTTCAGTAGCTAGTCGTATATTGAATCTTGATTGACCGTCATTTTGCTTTCTGTGACGATCGACATCAAATTTTTTAATGGTCAATAATAAGTACAGATGAAAAAAATATTCAAATAGCTATTGCTATCATATGATTATATTATCTGTCTTGTTTTTAATTAATCTTTAGTTTAAAAAAACCTTTTTCCCGTGAGGTCACGTGATAACCAAACATGGGATAATAGTCTCGATCCAAATGTTACAACGTGTACACTTGAGCAGATATAACTCATGAATATTAATTAGACCGTTCACTACGTTAACAGATCGTTATTATAACAGAAACAAACGTATGTTTTCCATGTATATCTAAAATGATATTATTTGTTATTAATTGTCCGGTGAATTAAACAATTTAGATTGAAATAATTCATCATATTATGAATACGTAACAACTTGTAATGCGTGTGAAAAGTTGTACTAAAATACGCTATTTGTAGGGGGCGTGGCCTAAATGCAAATGTCCGATTGGGATTTTAAATTTTCCGGACCCCTGTAGTAGACACCTCCCTTCAACCCCAACCAGATTACCACCCCCCCCCCCTCCCTTAACTCCGATACCACCCAGATAATCCCTCCCCCTCACCTCCGACACCACCAAGATAATCCCTCCCTCTCACCTCTGATACCACCCAGATAATCCCTCCCCCTCACCTCCAACACCACCCAGATAATCCCTCACCTCCAATACCACCCAGATAATCCCTCCCCTCACCTTCAATACCAACCAGATAATCCCCCTCCTCACCTCCAACACCACCCAGATAATCCCTCCCCTTCACCTTCGATACCACCTAGATAATCCCTCCCCCTCACCTCCAACACCACCCAGATAATTTCCTCCCCTCACCTCCGACACCACCCAGATAATCCCTCCCCCTCACCTCCGACACCACCCAGATAATCCCTCCCCCTCACCTCCAACACCACCCAGATAATCCCTCCCCCTCACCTCCGACACCACCCAGATAATCCCTCCCTCTCACCTCAGACAACCACCCAGATAATCCCTCCCCCTCACCTTCGATACCACCTAGATAATCCCTCCCCCTCACCTCCAACACCACCCAGATAATTTCCTCCCCTCACTTCCGACACCACCCAGATAATCCCTCCCTCTCACCTCCGACACAACCCAGATAATCCCTCCCCCTCAAGTCCAACACCACCCAGATAATCCCTCCCTCTCACCTCCGATACCACCCAGATAATCCCTCCCTCTCACCTCCAACACCACCCAGATAATCCCTCCCTCTCACCTCCGACACAACCCAGATAATCCCTCCCCCTCAAGTCCAACACCACCCAGATAATCCCTCCCTCTCACCTCCGATACCACCCAGATAATCCCTCCCTCTCACCTCCAACACCACCCAGATAATCCCTTCCTCTCACCTCCGATACCACTGAGATAATCCTTCCCTCTCACCTCCGACACCACCCAGATAATCCCTCCCTCTCACCTTCGACACCACCCAGAAAATCCCTCCCCCTCACCTCCAACACCATCCAGATAATCCCTCCCTCTCACCTCCGACTGCACCTAGAAAATCCCTCCCCCTCACCTCCAACACCATCCAGATAATCCCTCCCTCTCACCTCCGATACCCTGATAATCCCTCACCTCACCTCCGACACCACCCAGATAATCCCTCCCTCTCACCTCCAACACCACCCAAATAATCCCTGCCCCTCTCCTCCAACACCACCCAGATAATCCCTGCCCCTCCCCTCCAACACCACCCAGATAATCCCTCCCTCTCACCTCCGATACTACCCAGATAACCCCTCCCTCTCACCTCCGATACTACCCAGATAATCCCTCCCCCTCACCTCCGATACACCCAGATAATCCCTCCCCCTCACCTCCAACACCACCCAGATAATCCCTGCCCCTCCCTTCCAACACCACTCAGATAATCCCTCCCTCTCACCCCGATACTACCCAGATAATCCCTCCCCCTCACCTCCGATACACCCAGATAATCCCTCCCCCTCACCTCCAACACCGGTGCTGTAGATCTTGCTGGTCAGGTAGCCACCGCACCTCTGTGAGGCGTCGCCCGAGCACTTCCCTTCACATAGACTCTCCGGGCTGTGTCCGTGTTTGCCGTAACTGTCTCCGCACCAGCACTCCTTGCTGTATTGTACCCCGGCGTAACGAAATCCTGCACACAGAGAAATATGGAGTAAAGAAATCCTGCACACAGAGAAATATGGAGTAAAGAAATCCTGCACACAGGGAAATAGGGAGTAAAGAAATCCTGCACACAGAGAAATAGGGAGCAAAGAAATCCTGCAATCCACGCATTACTGCACTGAGAAATAGGGAATACTGCAAAGAGTGCCCAGTTTGGCTATCTGTATTCGTCTTCTCCCTTGAGTGGCATATAACCTACCAACATCTTCCACAGCCAACTGTATATTCAGATATCTCAGAATACACACCTCAGGTTAGTATTAGACAGCACTGTTCCCGCGCAAGGCAGTTCATAGTTTCAGGCCATGTTTGGTACCGGTAAGAATATTTGATGTAGCTGGGAACGTAGCAGCAAACAGAGCCAGGTTCAGGGGAATGGTGCACATCAAAGAAGCATTCATAAAATATCTGCTTTAGTTATGCTCTATTCTCAGCACCAGCTGCTTAAACACAGCTTAGCAACATTAAAACATGAAACAAGTTTCTGGTCATTTGAAGCCTGAAGTAATCAAAGTACAACAGTCTACATGACCTTCACACATAGTACAACAGTCTACATGACCTTCACACATAGTACAACAGTCTACATGACCTTCACACATAGTACAACAGTCTACATGACCTTCACACATAGTACAACAGTCTACATGACCTCTTCACTACAGCACACATTACAGTTCACACATAGTACAACAGTTTACATGACCTCTTCACTGCAGCACACATTACAGTTCACACATAGTACAACAGTTTACATGACCTCTTCACTACAGCACACATTACAGTTCACACATAGTACAACAGTTTACATGACCTCTTCACTACAGCACACATTACAGTTCACACATAGTACAACAGTTTACATGACCTCTTCACTGCAGCACACATTACAGTTCACACATAGTACAACAGTTTACATGACCTCTTCACTGCAGCACACATTACAGTTCACACATAGTACAACAGTTTACATGACCTCTTCACTACAGCACACATTACAGTTCACACATAGTACAACAGTTTACATGACCTCTTCACTACAGCACACATTACAGTTCACACATAGTACAACAGTTTACATGACCTCTTCACTGCAGCACACATTACAGTTCACACATAGTACAACAGTTTACATGACCTCTTCACTGCAGCACACATTACAGTTCACACATAGTACAACAGTTTACATGACCTCTTCACTACAGCACACATTACAGTTCACACATAGTACAACAGTTTACATGACCTCTTCACTGCAGCACACATTACAGTTCACACATAGTACAACAGTCTACATGACCTCTTCACTGCAGCACACATTACAGTTCACACATAGTACAACAGTTTACATGACCTTCACACATAGTACAACAGTTTACATGACCTCTTCACTGCAGCACACATTACAGTTCACACATAGTACAACAGTTTACATGACCTCTTCACTGCAGCACACATTACAGTTCACACATAGTACAACAGTTTACATGACCTTCACACATAGTACAACAGTTTACATGACCTCTTCACTGCAGCACACATTACAGTTCACACATAGTACAACAGTTTACATGACCTCTTCACTGCAGCACACATTACAGTTCACACATAGTACAACAGTTTACATGACCTCTTCACTGCAGCACACATTACAGTTCACACATAGTATGTCATCTACGCCCATTTGCCTTGTTATATGTTATATGAAAGTACACCACAGACAGACACACAGACAGACAGACAGACAGACAGACAGACACCAGGGATCGAAATTAAATTTATTTCAAGTGTGCCAATGGGCACAGTTATGCCAAATTAAGTGTGCCATCACATGTTATGGTGTGCCAGGAAATACATGAATGGCTTCTAAACTGTTTTAATGGTTAATCATAATTAAAATACAAGTCAAGTGACTGTCATTGTCTTTATTCATGTCAAATTATACTTAGAATGAATGACCATTCCGAAAATTCACACATCACTCAAGTAACTCCTTTCTGGTTACTTGTTGCCTTTGAATCTTAGTTAAGTACTGCAATACCAATTATAATGGTCTCAAGATTTAAGAGCTTCTGTTTACAACTGGTAGTAGCTGTGCACTTGTCAGTTACAGTTGTAGCTGTTCTGTGTCCATAGTGTGTGGTTCTTCCCCACCCCCCTCTTCCCCAGTGTGTGGTTCTTCTCCACCCCCCTCCTCCCCCCGTATGCACTGAGCCACAGTCATCAACTTTGACAGTGTCTGGGATTTCAGCCTATTTGCTTGTAAAACATCTTTGCTACTACATGTTATACACCATTTGAAAGGTCTAATCCTACTATTTATACACAGGAAAGTTATGTTTATCACATTATTTAAATAATGTATTTACAACTAAAGGAAGCACAACTTTGATGATTTTCGGCAAATATAAGATTTCATAAAATCCACTTCGATCTACCTATATGTTTTTTTTATTTTTATAGTTTACGTAATCAGAAAATTATTTAAAAAGAATTACAAATAAGGTCTGTCATCATCATTTTCCCGATAACAGCGGCTGTCAACTCAGAAGCATGAAGAAATATCTCTGTTTTCGAAGCTTCTCATGAATAATACGTGCCATGTGACACACCATTATCTACAAGGCTTATTTTGTCATCTACATGATTCAACTCGTCTAGAGTCTTTACATGACTGTAACATGCGATTTTATTGGCAACAAGATTCGTTATTGGTCAAATTTGAGCATGTGACTTAAGGCAGCCAATCAAATTACAGCTATGATACGGTCCTCGAGTATAATGAATTTCAGATTTTGACGAAAGGCTTTTGTCAAATCGTGTTATTCTGAACGTTTTAAGCAGGAAATCACGATCTATATTAAAGATATGAACTTCGTGAATGTATTGTGGCAGGTTACGAGCTGTGACAAAGACTTTTCATGCATATCATTTTGGCATAAACATTGTCCGTGCGGAGGATTCGAGGCGGCAAAAGTCCAGATGTCATTTGACTCACAATCCACGCAACCACACGAAAAGATGAAAATAATAACCAGAGACCATATGCTGGTACATATACATATGTATATGGTATACTGGAATATACGGGTATATACTGGTATATGGTGTGTATTAGATGTAAGTTTGACAACTTTTATGTATATTTTTGTTGATTTTATTTATTACTTTGTATAATATATTTAAAGATTTGATGGATACGTTTTTATTTTGCTCTTTGACTTATTCGATGTGAACCCATTGTCAAAGTGTGTGTCCGAGAATTGAATTTTCAATAACTTTACGGGAAATAGATCTAGTGAATAATCTTTTAAGCTATTGATAAAAAATAATAAATTGAAATAAAATATGTATTTCAGACATTGTGAAATGTGACAAATGTAATAAATGAATGATATGACAGGTAAGTTCATTAAGTTAAATACTATTTTGACGTGACTAGGGCTTGGCCAGTCTACCTGCCTGCAGTGTCTGGGGACTCGGTGTTGAAAGAGTTCAATCGTGTTGATCATCGTTTTCCAGAAAGGCAATTCAATTTGTTTTTGCACATATTTGTAAAAAATATTTTTGCATACAAGTCATGATTATCAACAGAAATACTCGTCAGTCACTTTCATTGATAAATTAAGTGTACCAAAGGGGCACGCAGGGAAGGAATTCACCATGCCATCACAGTGTTAGGTGTGCCCTCAGCATGATGCCACTAATAGTTTCTAACCCTGGACAAACACTGACACACACACACACTGACAGGCAAACAGACAGACTGACAGACAGACAAACAGATGCACATACAGACACACAGACACAAAGACAGACAGACACACACACTGACAGGCAAACAGACAGTCAGACAAACAGACGCACACAGTACAGGCAAACAGACAGACAGACAGTCAGACAAACAGATGCACATACAGACACACAGACACAAAGACAGACAGACACACACACTACAGGCAAACAGACAGACAGACAGTCAGACAAACAGATGCACATAGAGACACACAGACACAAAGACAGACAGACACACACACTGACAGGTAAACAGACAGACAGTCAGACAAACAGATGTACATACAGACACACAGACACAAAGACAGACAGACACACACACTGACAGGCAAACAGACAGTCAGACAAACAGATGCACATACAGACACACAGACACACAGACACAAAGACAGACAGACACACACACTGACAGGCAAACAGACAGTCAGACAAACAGATGCACACACTACAGGCAAACAGACAGACAGACAGTCAGACAAACAGATGCACATACAGACACACAGACACAAAGACAGACAGACACACACACTGACAGGCAAACAGACAGACAGACAGTCAGACAAACAGACACACACACTACAGGCAAACAGACAGACAGACAGACAAACAGATGCACATACAGACACACAGACACAAAGACAGACAGACACACACACTGACAGGCAAACAGACAGTCAGACAAACAGACGCAGACACTACAGGCAAACAGACAGACAGACAGTCAGACAAACAGATGCACATACAGACACACAGACACACAGACACAAAGACAGACAGACACACACACTGACAGGCAAACAGACAGTCAGACAAACAGATGCACACACTACAGGCAAACAGACAGACAGACAGTCAGACAAACAGATGCACATACAGACACACAGACACAAAGACAGACAGACACACACACTGACAGGCAAACAGACAGACAGACAGTCAGACAAACAGACACACACACTACAGGCAAACAGACAGACAGACAGACAGACAGACAAACAGATGCACATACAGACACACAGACACAAAGACAGACAGACACACACACTGACAGGCAAACAGACAGTCAGACAAACAGACGCAGACACTACAGGCAAACAGACAGACAGACAGTCAGACAAACAGATGCACATACAGACACACAGACACAAAGACAGACAGACACACACACTGACA